TTATAACAGTTTTATATATATATATATATATATATATATATATATATATATATATATATATATATATATATATATATATATATTTCCATGTTCTGTGGAAAAAAATAAGTTTTTGCGAAAATGCCACTAAAATGCTCGAAAAAATGCTAGCATAATGTACAAAAGCCTACATTAAGTGGCAGTTTTGGCGGGAAAAACGAAGGGAACGACAGGAACTGCTCGCCGCGCGCTTTACCGCTGATGCAGCCTCGGTTAGATGCGACGAGATGCCTGTCACGTACTGAACTTCATTAGAATTATTATCTACTTTCAATCTCACTCATGAAAAATGTTGAAACGGTGCGTTACCCACCTTAAAATCGCGTCCATTTCATCCTTACCTCTGCTATTACCTAAAAAAATGTTAGTATAATAGTTAAGTGATAGTACTTGATATCGAAAATTAATATAGCACAATTTGGATTCTGTGTGATTCTCATTCACTAAATACTACAATTACATAGCTAAAGCTTGTTAACTGAGATTTAGCTTTTTATTAGCGCCGAAGATCGCGGCCTGAGTGGCAGCAAAATAATAAATTTCTCATTTACTATCATTACAATCTTGGTCACAATAAAATGATTTTGCTCAGTCCGTACCAGTATTAAACAAGCAAATAAACCGGCAGCTCGTGATTTCTAACTTTCTCTCACGCCATGTTCTCGTAATTCTTTGTAGTTTAGAACGGTATAAATAGGGTATGAATTACGGGTTTTTCTTTCCAGCGGCGTTGCGTGACGACCCCAAAACTGCTGCAAAGTAGTTTCTTCTGGGCTTTGCGTGATCGGCATGACTGCGTCGTCTAGACACGCCACATCGCGTGACTTAGTATTTGCATCACGCAACTGAAGTTTGTCACGAAAATGATGTAAATGAACGGCTTCCAACGTTCTTTCTATTTGTAGTTTGTTACGGCTGAACTGTGGTTTACTTCGATGGCTTCAAGTTTACGTTATTTAAGGAAATTTTGGGAAGCAGACCCCATGCCCGCAATGTAAATGATAATTTTACAACCAGAGAAATACTTTCACTGCACTTTGCCGCAGTCGACTAGCTCGACACTCGTTCGTCTCATTTAAACACGAGACAGTCACAAGGATCTTACGAAAATACTCTGAAATTGATTTAAAATTTCTAGTTTATTGAACACTATTGTTTTTGTCAAAAACCAAAATTTGAAACGTATTCCTCGACAAAATCAAAACAGTGAAGTTTCATGAACAACATCTTATGTAAACGTACACCGTACAAATTAACTCGTAACTTCAGTATTTTAACACCGCTCAATAGTCCTTTTAAACCGCCAGCCGCGAGGTCTCCTCGAATTGCAAATTTTTGAAAAAGGCAGAATTATAGATCTAGATGTCAAGCAAATGATAACTTTGACGAGTACAAAGATCAGAATGAATTCATCTAATGGCGAATGATGTATTAGTGTTCGTGCGTTTGATGACTAACAGTAAATGCACCTACCTTTATTTGCTTTTGTGGACATCGCGGACTTCATCATCAGCCAGTTGTATTCGTAGTATTCGTAGTATCAGACACAAAACAGCTTGGTAACTTAATTGCTTTCACTTCGTTTATAGGTTTCCCGGTATATCACAATTACTTTCGAATTCATGAATGACCTGATTGTCTTATCGTAAAGCGGCACATATTTATATAAAGCGCACCCGCTGTACAGTTATTCGGGGAACTCCCGATTTCTAAGAATCCCCAAGCAAATGATGCCACGTTCTTGTACACCTTTTATTCAAGTTCCTGTTGTTCCTGCAAAAATTAAAATTCTAGGAAAGACTCTCGTAATGATTGCGCAACACAGTATTTCTGTCAACGGGGTCAATCTGCAATTCTCTATTTCAAAGAATCGCCAAGTACAATGTCACCTTCTCGTACACCTTCTATTCAAGTCTGGTTGTTCCTGCCAAAAATTCGCTGTCCAAGGTCGCTACCTGTTTTTTTTTTTTTTTTCTTTCTTTTTTACTGATCATGATATCTGTATGGCCTAGCGTGACACAATCGCTTCTGTATTCTAAACTGATACTCAACCATCACATTCAGAAAAGCGGGCGGAAGTCATGCGATCACTTATAATCGCATCTGAAATATCCGTGATCGTTCATAGCTGTTTTCAAACTAACTTTACCTAGTTCTAATTCTTTGCTAGCTTTGTAAAATCGCAAGTTTTAATTTTGTTCGGTCAAACCCTGCAAAGCGAGCCTTTCTTACGGTACATCTGCGTCACCTCTCCGCTCAAAAGAGAGATAAAAGGGACTCTTCCCGCGGGGTGGTTTGACTAGTGTTCTCTCCACAATTTACGGTCAGTTTCCGGCTATTCAATTCGAGTCCGTAATCTGTTGACAGTATTTTGTCGGCGTTTCTGGTGTGCAAAACGAAAAGGGAAACATTGAAGCGCACACAAACTATACGGGCAAGTCCCTTGAGGAGTTTACACCGTTCGAGGTGAATTTTGGCTGCATGCAGGGATTAGTCCCTTCTGGTATGACCCACCTATTGCACACACACACACACACACACACACACACACACACACACAGACACACAGACACACA